ACTTTGTTGAGGATTTTTGCATCTGTGTTCATCAGAGATACTGTAGTTCTTGTTTGTAGTGTCTTTATCTGGTTTTGGCATCAGGATAATCCTGGCCTCATAGAATGAATTTGGGAGCTTCCCTTCCTCTTCTATTTTTTTAAAATAGTTTGAGAAGAATAGGCATTAACTCTCCTTTAATGTTTGGTGGAATTCGCCTGTGAAGCCATCTGGTCCTTAACTTTTGTTTGTTGGGAGTTTTTTGATTACTGATTCAATTTCATTGCTGGTAATTGTTGTGTTCAAATTTTCTATTCCTGCTTCAATTTTGGGAGGTTGTATGTTTCTAGGAATCTATCCATTTCTTCTAGGTTATCCAATTTGTTGACATATAACTTTTCATAGTTGTATCTTAATGTATTTCTGTGGTGTCCATTGGTATTTTTCCTCTTTCACTTGTGATTTTGTTTATTTGAGTCCTCTCTTTTGGTTTTGGCTTGTTTTTGATAAGTCTGATCAGGTGTTTATCATTTTATTGATCTTTTCAAAGAACCAGCTCCTGGTTTCATTGGTCTTTCTTTTTTTTTTTTCTTTAGTTTCTATATCATTTATTTCTGCCCTAATCTTTATTGTTTTCTTCCTTCTGCTGGTTTTGGCTTTTGTTTGTTCTTCTTTTTCTAGCTCCTTTGGGTGTTACTTTAGGTTGTTTATTTGATATTTTTCTTGCTTCTTGATGTAGGCCTGTATTGCTATAAATTTCCTTCTTAGAAGAGCTTCTGCTGCATCCCCAAAGTTTTGGACCATTGTGTTTTCATTTTCATTTGTTTCCATGTACTTTTTGATTTCTTCTTTGATTAGTTGGTCGATTCATTCATTGTTTAGTAGCATGTTACTTAAGCTCCATGTATTTGTGGTCTTTCCCGATTTTTTCTTGTGACTGACTTCTGGTTTCATAGTGTTATGGTCAGAAAAGATGCATGGTATGACTTACATCTTTTTGAATTTGTTGAGACTTGTTTTGTGGCTTAATGTGTAATCTGTTCTGGAGACTGTTCCATGTGTACTTGATCAGGATATGTATGTTGCTGTTTTAAGATGGAATGTTTAGAGTATATCTGTTAAATCCATCTGGTCCAGTGCATCATTCAAAGCCACTGTTTCCTTGTTGATTTTGTGTTTGGATGATCTGTCAATCAATGTAAGTGGGGTGTTAATGTCTCCTACTATTATGGCATTACTATCAATTAGTTCCTTTATATTTGTTATTAACTGTTTTATGTATTTGGTTGCTCCTATGTTGAGTACATAAATGTTTACAATTGTTATATCTCCTTGTTGGATTGCCCCATTTATTATTATATAGTGTCCTTCTTTGTCTCTTGTTATAGTCTGTTTTAAAATCTATTTTGTCCAATACAAGTGTTGCTACTCTGGCTTTCTTTTTACATCCGTTTACATGATAAATGCTTTTCCATCCATTCACTTTCAATATGCATGTGTCTTTCTGTCTGAAATGAGTCTCTGGTAGGCAGCATATAGATGGGTCTTGTTTTATTTTATACATTCTGTCACCCTATGTCTTTTAATTGGAGACTTTAGTCCACTATATGCAAAGTAATTTTTGATAGGTATGTATTCATTGTGATTTTGTTACCTGTTTTGTGTTTTTTGTAGTTCTTCTCTGATCCTTTCTTCTCTTGTTTTCTCAGTTTGTTGGATTTCTTTAGTGATATACTTGGATTCCTTTCTTTTTATTTTTTGCATATCTGTTACTGGTTTTTGATTTATAATTACCATTAGGTTTGTATATAACATATTCTGCATATAGCAGTGTATATTAAGTTGATGGTCACTTAAGTTTGAAACTATTCTTTACTCCCACTCCCCACCTTTTAGATATATGGTGTCATACTCTATATCCTTTTATTTTGTAAGTCCCTTACTGATTTTTATAGATATATTTATTTTTACTGCTTTTGTGATTCCTACTTTTCTTATTCTTACTTATGGTCTTTCCTTTCCACTCATAGAGATCCCTCTAACATTTCTTGTAGGGCTGGTTTAGTGGTCATGAGCTCCTTCAGCTTTTGTTTGTCTGGGAAACTCTTTATCCCTCCTTCTATTATGAATGATAACCTTGCTGGATAGAGTATTCTTGGCTGCAGATTTTTTCCTTTGGCACTTTGAATACATTATGCCACTCCTTTCTGGCCTGCGAAGTTTCTGCTGAAAAATCCACTGATAGGCTTATGGGGTTTCCCTTGTATGTAACTGTCTTCTTTTCTCTTGCTGATTTAAAAATTCTCTTTGTTGTTACTTTTTGCAACTTTAATTACTATGTGTCTTGGTGTGGACCTCCTTGGATTGATTTTGTTGGGAGCACTCTGCCTCCTGGATGTGGATATCCATTTCCTTCCCCAGATTAGGGTAGTTTTCAGCTATTATTTCTTCAAATAAAATTTCTACCCCCTTTTCTCTCTCTTCTCCTTCTGGGATCCCTATAATGTGAATGTTATTATGCTTGATGGAGTTGCTGAGTTCCCTAAGTCTATTCTCATGTAGCATAATTTTTTTTTCTCTCACCTGCTCAGCTTGATTACTTTCCATTACTCTGTCCAACAGGATGCTAATTAGTTCTTCTGCTTCCTCTAGTCTACTCTTTATTCTCCCGAGTGCAATTTTAATTTCATTTATTGTATTTTTCATCTCTGATTGGTTCTTTTTTCATCTCTTTGTTAAAGGTTTCATGGTGTCTTCCACTCTTTTCTCAACTCCAGTGAGTATCTTTATGACCATTACTTTAATTCTTTATTAGGAATATTACTTATCTCTGTTTCATTAAGGTCTCTTCCTGTGATTTTGTCCTTTTCTTTCATCTGGAACATATTCCTCTGTCTCCTCATTTTGTCTAACTCTCTGCATCTGTTTCTATGTGTTAGGAGAGTCAGCTACGTCTCCTGCTCTTGAAAGTAATGGCCTTATGAAGAACAGGTCCTGTAGTGACCTACAGTGCAGTGTCCCCCGTTCACCAGGACCTGATGCTTCAGGGGTGTCTCCTATGTGTGTTACATGCACCCTACTGTTAAGTGTTGGCTGCTTTTTCCTTCAGTCCAGTCATCGGCAGTGGCTCTCTTTGGCTGTTGTGAACAGTGCTCTGTCCCCATGGTGGTAGTGGACCAGTCTGGGGCTGACTTGGGCTTGAATTTAGTCAGACTAGGCATTTGCCAGAAATGAAGTAGCACCAAACTTCAGTGTGCTTTCCCTGTATTGTCCCCTGAGAAGCTTTCATTGGTGGGCGGGCCTGCAGTCGGACCTATTGTCTGCCCCAGCCCCCTGCTGGTGCTGCAGTCTGACTGGTGGGTGTAGCTGTCTTCTCTCCCCAGGCAGGAGCTACTTTGGAGTGGTGCTGGCTCCCGTTTTGACTGCTTGGACACTGCCAGGCTTGTGGCTGTGCTTTGAATGGGCTCCAGCCAAGAGAATATTGGAGGGGGCAGGACATGCAGGGCTTACAAAATCTGCATTCTAGCAAGAGGGAACATGCAGCCATTACTAGGACCTGATTGCCAGAGGCCGGGGACACATTTTTAACAGAGTGTGCACTGGTCTTCTGTGGGAGGGGGCCCAGCACCACCACCACTGCTGCTCCTACTGGGACTGAGGTCCCTCAAAATATGTGAGTTGTGATGTTGGCAAGGTTTGTGTTGGTCTTCTGGAGGAGGGACCCCAGACTGAGGCAAGCTGACTACAAAGGGCAGATGTGCTCAGTCACCAGGTGGGCAGGGCTTGGGGTAAGCAAGTTAGGTAGTGAATGTTGGCACTGCACACTGGTTCTCACAGGTGGCCGAGTGTTTATGCTAGGAGGTGAGGGAGAAAAATGGCACCTGCCAGCTCCTTTGTTCTTGGCAGAGTCCGCCCAGTGATCCCTGTCTCTATAGTAACTGCTCTGAGATTAATAAATAACTCTCCCGCCTGTATGCCTCAGGCATTTTTCAAAATGCTGCTTCTATGCTATATCTGCATGGGCTGTTTGTCCTGCTATCTAAGGGCAGGGACTTAGTTTCTTATTGCTCTCCAGTCTTTCCCAGAAGAGAGCCTACTGATTTTTTTTAAATTCCGGGTTTTACGTCCTGCTGGTTATAAGAACTCACAAAATTTGTCCCTTCTGTTTTTCAAAAGTAAATGTTATGGGGATTCGTATTCCCTGTGGAGTCTCCCAGGTGTCCTCTCCTCTACAAGCCCACAGCTCCCTCTCTCCAGTAGCCAGACCCACAGGGTTTAGCTCTCTACTGCATCCCTGACCTTCCTACCCTCTTCAGTGTGGCCTCTTATCTACCTTTAGTTGTGGAATTTGTTTTGCTAGCCTTCAGGTTGTTAACAACCCAGGTTATTATCTGGATTATTTACAGTGATGTGAGTATTATCTCGTTGTACCTGGGAAACAAGGTGAGCCTACTCCACCATCTTCCCAGCCTCTGTTGAGTACTTTCTTAAATACTCAAATGTTACATAAATATCCTTACATGCTCAATAAAATTTAATTTTGGAATACTGACAGTTATAATCTCACACAAAGTAATCCAGTGCTTACATTACCAGATTATTTTCTTTCTCAATAGTAATTACCCAATCTGAAATTATTTGTCTTTAAATAGGGGATTTTAACGTATAATATTATAATTGTTATCACTAAAGTATGTGCACTTATTTATACCATCCTCTGTTATATTTTTCTTCCACTGTGTTTTCTGTTTCTTATTATTTTCCTTGTTTATTATTTCTTTCTTGATTACTGTTTGCTTGGTCACATTTTATTTGGTCCTAATATTTTTTCAAATAATTAGGTAAATCTAACTTTAATAATATTTTACTAATTACTATCATATATTAGCAATAAAAAGATTTTGGATAAATTTTCCTAACATCAAAATTAATTAGTTAACTGTGTTGGCTTTGCTTCAGTGACAATCTTCAAACCTCAGTAGTTTACCACACTGAAAGCTCATTTCTCTCTTACATTTCAGGTCTTCTGTGAAGGCTCTACGACATTTACCTTCCTCATTCCAGAATCTAGGCTAAGGAGCAGTCCCTTTTTAGGATATGCCATTCTTTTGGCAAACAGAAAAATAAATTAAAAGAACTAAGGCACTCAAGACTCTCAAAACTTCTGGTTGCATATGGTATATTTCATGTCTGCTCACCTTTCATTGGCCAAAACATGTCACATGCTCCTGATATGAAGGGGATTGAGATGTATGCTTTTCAAATAAGATGGTACAAGTCACAGGGCAACAGAAAAGGTAGAGAATAACTGGAAAGGACAGGCCAGTTTACTACACTAACTAGCCTGTTGCTCTAAGACAACATCAACATTTACTGAACTCGTCTATATGCTAAGAATACTGTAAGAAACAAAACTGTCCTTATTTTGATGAAATTTATGTTCAGGTTATGACTTCCCTACCCTTCTACTCTTCTGGTTTTATACTGAAGTTATGTGGAATTTACACTAAATTTCCCAAACTCTTGCAAAGCAGCCTATTCTTATTCTATAAATTTGTATCCTGTCAAATCCCTGGGGATATGAACACCTATTTTAAAGTTTTCTCCTATTTCGGGTGTCCGCTTTACTTTCTCCAGTAAGAATTTAGGTGTATCTTTATCACATGTTGGCTTTTCTCATGTTCCTGGTGACTGACCTGTATATTATAGTTCAAGTAAATATCACGGTTTCCCAGGCAAGGAATGCAAGTTCTGTTTGCAGGTCATCTGGCTCTAACAAATAATCACTGTCACGTAACTAGGAGGGGCCTGATGTGTGGGAGCAGTAAATATATTGTTCAATTGGTTTTATTTTAAGGTAGCTGGGAGCTTATCTTCTGCATACAGATGATTCTTATATAGTGTGAAAGTCATTTAGACTCTTGCTCTGTTTCCCTCCCTAACCTTAAAGTTTACTCTAAGTTCCCTATGGAAAAGTAGCCATATTATTTAAAGAACTTATCTCTCTGCTTTATTCTGAGGATGAACACCAGAGCCAGCATATTAAGTGTAGGGTCGGGCTGAGTAAGTCACAATACTTTAGATAATATCCAAAGACTGTCTCAGAGCCCACCCTTCCTGCCTCTGCTGTGACGGTTACTCCAGGAACAGACAAGATTAGGGTGAGATATGCAAGTTGAATGTGGCTCTTGCCTCAGGTACAAAATTGAAGCAATAATCAAGATAAATAGTATTTTAGTACAATATAAAAGGAATCAAAAGTAATATAAAAACCTAAAATGGATAAAATATCAAATCTTTAAAGACAGGATCACTGACATGCCATGCTGGCAAAAGACAAAATCTGTAATACTGCTATCTTCTAAATCAGGGAATTTTTGCATAAATTTTTATTTTTAAGGCATTATTTATTTTAATTATTGAGTTTTTTGGGGCGTGTCTTCAAATTTTGCATTCAGGACAATTGCCTCACTCCTCATTCACCTCAGCGAAGTTGTAGCTTTGACCAGAGCCCTTCTAGGAAAACCTGTCATTTCAGCAGTTCTATATTATATCTGTGTTGTGTGAGCATTTCTTTGGCTTTGTTGGGTTAAGTAAAAAAAGTCTCGTCTATCAGCTTTAGAGATTTTACAAGTTTCCCAATATTATTGATCACTTGATGGAACTTAATATTTTTCTGTATTGCTGTAGATTTTGTCTTATTTTTTTGTTTTGGGTTTTCTCCCCCCTGCTCCCTGCCAAGTAGGATTTCAGGAGAGGGGAAATGAAAGCTTATGTGTATACATGTACTCAGACAGGTATCGTGAAATGGGAGCTGAAAACAGACATATAAACAAGAGAAAAGTAATGATAAAATAAATTATTTAAACTCAAGGCATGTGGTGGTGGAGGGAAAGACACATAAGAGATATAGGAAATACAAGTGAAAGACTCGATTATTTTTTAAATGGTCATTGTTTTTCCTTCAAAAATACTAGAAGAATTTGAGGTGAGCATATTTTGGAATTTGAAAATGAAAGGTTTGAATAGAAGGAAAACAGAGGTCTTTTCAATTAAGCTGTAAAGAAATAATCTAAAAAAGTAGAGAAATGAGCTACTCATTTCCATTTCCTATGAAGGCTCCAAAGTGTTATATAGATAGATTCCTTAGAAGAAAAACACATAACTGAGCAAATAAACTTTTAAAGCATTGAATTATTAAAAGATTATTAAATTTAGGTAAAAACATAGTCAAAGCCACCTCATGTCGTGCTGTGCTAGAGATCTAGCCCAACTGTTGTTGATCTGTTTGGCTCTAGCAAAACCTTCCCCACGGTTCCACTGGCAGTTCAAGGCAGAACTCTAAATGACTAAATTGTGTCTCAAACACTGAGGTGTTAAAATAGAACCATAATATATACCATTCATTAATTGCTTGATATGAGCCAGAGAGTAAAATACTATCTCATTGCACTCTTACAAAACAAGAAAAAGTAGGAATTAAAACTTTCCTTATTTTGTAAATAAGAACACAGCTTAGAGAAGTCAAATCACTTGATCAAGTTGATAACATATACCATTTGCTGGGCTGGGGTCATGCCCAGACCTCTGATCCCAAGCCTCTACTCTCAACCACCATGTTATAGTTGAGCACAAAAGAGATAGGTTTTATCTATATTGGTGATCAAGTTAATAGTCCAGTAAACATAAAGAAGTAAGTAGAGGATCCCCATTGTTTCCTTCTTCAACCATTTCATTAAAATCTATCCATTGTGAGTGTGTAACTTTTAGTACTTCACTTTTCTCATGTGTAAAATGAAAATGGGGGTGCCTGGGTGGCTCAGTCATTAAGCGTCTGCCTTTGGCTCAGGTCATGATCTCAGGGTCCTGGGATCGAGCCTCGCATCGGGCTCCCTGCTCGGCGGGAAGCCTGCTTCTCCCTCTCCCACTCCCCCTGCTTGTGTTCCCTTTCTCACTGTGTCTCTCTCTGTCAAATAAATAAATAAAATCTTTAAAAATAAAATAAAATAAAATGAAAATGATGCCTAAAATCTCTACCCACTTTGTAATTCTCTGTGATTACTATCAACAAGCTATTTGCTCTAAGTAGAACGTATTTAGAGACTCTGGTGTGTGAGAGGGTCAACTAAAAGAATATGATTCAAACAAGCAGATTCTAAGAAAACAGAGGTCATATCCTTAATTTTTTTTTTTTTTTAAATTTCTCATTCTCTCCCTTTTCATTCTGAATCACTTTTAATGTACCAACCTTGACCTTTTTTCATCTTGTAGTGATAGAACCAATACAATACCGTTCGGCCTTCCTTCTGCTACCCAGCTTTTTATCACATTTAAAACCAAGCTACTTTAAGATGAGCAAAAACACCTGATGTCCCATTGCAGAAGATTCCATACATCTCCCTGGGGGGGCCACGACTCTTCCCCCATCCTGCAGGAATCACAGAGAGAGCCTACTGAGTTTTCCTACTAGCCAAGAAAGTTTGCTGAGCTTTACTTTCTGGAGTTTGTTTTTATTAAAATCACATGCTGTCAGGGAACTTCAAATTAAAAAAAAAAATGAGATTCAATTTCACAACCATCACACTAAAATTTTGAAAGTACTGGGGAGGATTTCAGGCAACAGAGATTGTCATAAATTGCTTGGTGGAGGGGAAGGTAAACTTGTACAACCACTTTAGAAAGCAATTTATCAAAATATCAGAAAATCAGGAGATATGCGTGTCTTAGGACCCGGCAATTTCACTATCATCCGTGTGCACCCAGATTCATTCTAAAAGAGTTCACTGTAGCATCACTAGTAATATGGAAAAACTAAATAATGTAAATGTTCATCAGCAGAAGAGCGGATACATGAACTGGATTAGGGACAAATAGTACTATTCATCAATCAAAATGAATGAACCAGAGCCACGTGTAACAACATGAATAAATCTGAAAGTGTAATAATAAGGACAACAAAAACAAGTTGCAAGGGACGCCTGGGTGGCTCAGTCAGTTAAGCATCTGACTTGGGCTCAGGTCATGATCTTGGGGTCCGGGGACCGAGCCCCACATCTGGCTCCCTGCTCAGTGGGGAGTCTGCTTCTCTCTCCCCCTCTGCCCCTCCTCCCTGCTCATGCTATCTCTCTCTCAAATAAATAAATAAATAAGATCTTGAAAAAAAAAGTTGTAGAATGCTACATACAGTATGAAACCATTTAACTGGTTTAAAAACATGTGAAACAGCTGAATATTTTGCTTATGAATATATAACTCAAAACTTACAAGTGGGGTTCATGGGGCAGAGAGTGTCAATTTGGTCTTGCTCCTAATTCTCGAATGGGTAACGTATACATGGTTACTTGTCATATTATGTTTATACTTTTTTGTGTGACTTAAATATTTTATAATAAAAGTAATCCATTTTATTTTCTAAATATAAAATTCTAGTATGAGATGCAGTATGTTGTTTCCAATGACCCACATTTTTCTCCCTAGACTCTGATATGTCCCCAACGAGAATGAGAATCATTGCTCTGACAGTCCATACTTACATTAATTTGATAACCCAGCATAATTTTAAGTGTCAGTGATGAGCTTAACCAACACTACTTTATGGCGTTGACCACCATTTCCACCCATCCCCCAAACTTTAGGGGAGCGCAAACTTTCTGGGAAATCATAGAAGACAGGAGAGCAATCTAACCAGCTGGTTGCCAGATTGGTCCAAACTCAAAGTTAGCCTGGGCTCAGGACTGCTGCTGACTTATTCAGAATCAAAGATAAAGCTTTGGTCAGCAGCCTCTGGAACTCTCAAGTACACAGGCGTGTGATAACCCTTGAATATATCCTTCAGAGTCTTACCCTTCCTGACATCATTCTTCACTGCCGCTCAAAGGGAAGCTAAGAAAGCAGTGTGTGGCCCAGCCTCCAATGACTCTCTGCTTAATTGGTTTGTGAGTTTCCTCAGTAAAAGGTCATTAAAATAAGGTTTGGTTTCCAGTGCCAAGACAGAATCATTTTATACATGGTTTGGCCTCCACGGAGACCTTGAGCTCCATTTCTTCAGAATACTAAAATATCCTTGGCTTCTTCATTCTTGGGGTT